TTTTTTTTTTTTTTCAACATTTTCAATTTTTATAAGTTACGAAATTGTTAATGCGCTTCAGTTTAGTCTTCTCACTTTAGTTTCATTATGCATTAGTATATAAATATTTTCCCGTAACTTTGCAAAAATGAGAAAACGTCGCTATTTGACGGACGACCTAAAGCCACTACGTTTTAATTTACAATTAGATTATGAGCTCCAGATTTCTACTGCGTGATAGTTGACGAGGGCGCAACCCGAGCAAATAATCCAATCGTTTTATCAAAAATTTGCTAGTCGTTCAAAACTTTTTCTAAATTTCTTCACAGACACTTCAAAAACGCAAAGAAGAGGCCATCATTTTGTTGAGAACGGCACACTGCTTCGCTTCTCTCTATCTATCACAGAATAGATAGTAAGTAGCGTAGCCAATCAGAGAAGAGGCATTCGTGATAGAACGCTAGTAGATCTATACTAATGTCTGATAGTATGCGAGTAGCTCAGCTAATCAAGTTGTAGACTAGTAACATTAGTAGATTAGTCAAATTCTACCGATAGAAGAAAGAGAGAAATGTACTTTTCGTATATTCACCCTTAAGGGAATTGAAGTCAACGAAGTAACCTTCGCAAAATATGCGAAAAATATATGAGAAAATATAGCAGACTCTATTTGTTCTGTCTCTCTAACCCCAGGATTTCCGGCAGTTATAGTTGGATTAATAGCAGCTATAAGACCAAGTACCTTTGATATGGGAAAGGCTCAGTATGAGGACATCACGTGTGGCTTATTAAACTTTACCGCTGAGATACAACAAACCAGGTATGACTCTTCTTTTCCCTAGGCTTTCAAAGTCCCTAGGTATTAATTTACGAAGCAGTCATCTAGACTTTCTTAAAGCCCTGCGAAGTAGTGAGTAGCCCTGGTGCGGAACTTGCACTCCTCTTCCCTTTGCACTCGTGTTTTAGAGGGTCACAGACATCTTTCTCATTCCCAGCAAATCATCCATTTTGGGGCTTTCATTACCATAGTGCTGCATTTGGAGTGATACATCAGAACCTCGCCACGACTACGACTAAACCCAAGCGGTAACTAAGGTCACACTGTTTGGCCTGGCCAACATGACGTCACTTAAAATGTATAACGAAATGAGGTATTAAGCTAAGAAGCCGTTTCTCTTCCTTTTTCCGCATAAGTCTAAAAGTTACAAAGTTAAAACGCATAAAAATTGTGATATGACTAGTTGCGACACGATTATATTACTTAAACATTTTAATTAGCAACTGCCTAGTACGTCTTGTTTTAAGAGATCAGTTAATCGACCCGTAATTCAATGCTATTGTTTTTATTTTAATGTTAAATTAGCTATGAAACTAAAACAAAGCAAACGAAAGTAAGAATTAAACATTGAACTGTCTGGTGGACTGGTAAAAAAAAGAGAGGGAATGACAGTAGTTTTATTAAACAAAGTGCAACATTATGCTGCAATATGCAGTTCTTCTCTCTTTTTACAGATGCTGGATAAATGGAAGTCTGTGGATTTATAAAGGACCCGTCTTAGTCATACTTGTGGTATGTAATAGAGTTTGTTAACCACTGAACGTACATGTAGAACCAAACAAACACCCTCACGTTCCCTCCTCCATAGCTTCGCCCCTTTAAACTTACTTTGAAATACTTGTTCATTTATTGAAGAGTCTCCAGCATAATTTATTTCGGTTTATTTTTCCTCCTCTTTTTTTTTTCCTGTCAGGCAAATATGGTATTGTTTGCGATACTTCTTCGTGTAATCTTTGGGAAAATAGCTACCAAGAACAGCAATGACCACGTGGAAATCANTGAAGTATTAAGCTGAGAAGCCGTTTCTCTTCCTTTTTCCGAATAAGTCTAAAAGTTACAAAGTTAAAACGCATAAAAATTGTGGTATGACTAGTTGCGACACAATTATATTACTTAAACATTTTAATTAGCAACTGCCTAGCACGTCTTGTTTTAAAAGATCAGTTAATCGACCCGTAATTCAATGCTATTGTTTTTATTTTAATGTTGAATTAGCTATGAAACTAAAACAAAGCAAACGAAAGTAAGAATCAAACATAGAACTGTCTGGTGGACTGGTAAAAAAAAAAGAGAGGGAATGACAGCAGTTTTATTAAACAAATTGCAACATAATGCTGCAATATGCAGTTCTCCTGTCTTTTTACAGATGCTGGATAAATGGAAGTCTCTGGATTTATAAAGGACCCGTCTTAGTCATACTTGTGGTATGTAATAGAGTTTGTTAACCCTTGAACGTACATGTAGAACCAAACAAGCACCCCCACGTTCCCTCCTCCATAGCTTCCCCTCTTTAAACTTAATTTGAAATACTTGTTCATTTATTGAAGAGTCTCCAGCATAATTTATTTCAGTTTATTTTTCCTCCTCTTTTTTTTTTTCCTGTCAGGCAAATATGGTATTGTTTGCGATACTTCTTCGTGTAATCTTTGGGAAAATAGCTACCAAGAACAGCAATGACCACGTGGAAATCACTAAGTAAGCTTATGTAAAAAAAAAAAAAAAACTAAAGTGAACTACTATGAACTACCTATGCTCTTCTGCTTAATGTTACGAGCCTGTATGAGGTCAGAACATCTACAAGACAACAATTACCTTTTCACCTCTAAGTTATTTTCCCGCATAACTAGAGGTAAATTTAAAAAGTGACATGATCATTCTAGTTCTAAGCCGATACTACTGTAAAGTTAGAAGATCGTTCTATAAAACCACAGGGCGTTCTTCTATATTTTATTTTAATTCACTTAATTATTTAAATCAATATTTCTTCAGGGGCATCCACTTTCCCAGAAGTAAAACATAAAAGTATTAGATACAATATTAAATTAAAAGTTACATATATAGGTCTTTTTTCTATATTTTAAAACTGTTATCTTACCAATTTCCCACAGTATCGAGATTTCAATGCATGGTTTAACACGAAAGCTTGCTCATTGTCTATGTAAGTTTCGCGTAGAAGGGACGTCGCCTAAGGAAACTGCATTAATTTTATCTTTTTAAGAGCCTCTCATATTTTCAAACTTCACAGGAAAGGTCTGAGAAGCATTGTCGCCCTACTCCCCTTGTTGGGCGTTACGTATGTAGTGGGCTTTTTTATCGAGTTCCATATCGCTTTGGAATACGTTTTTCTATTGCTTAACACCACACAGGTATGTGTTTTGATCTCGTTCTGGTATCCTTTTCACCGATATATGTCTATGATGTCTTTGACTAGTGGATGATGCATTTCATTCTCACTCAGTAACATTCATCTTCGGATATGAAAACAACTTGGGATCTCTACATCTGACACTAAAGTAATATGTAGTGCTTAGAAACGTAAATAGAGTCAAATCCCACGCCGATAACACTGCCTGTTGAACTTTTAAAGTTTATGACTGCAAAAAACATAAATAAATAAATGAATAAATAAATAAATAAATAAATAAATAAATAAATAAAATAATAGGGAAAAAACCCTAGTGATACTAAAATATCTTCTATCGACAATTTAAAGGCAGAGATTGGCACAACTCTCTCATCTCCTAGGTATTTCTTGTTGTTGTTTTTTTCTTTGTTTGTTTTGTTTTGTTTTGTTTGTTTTTTTTAAGCTAGATACCTTAATGTGTTCTAAAACAATAACTGCAGCGTTGTCTTAGGAAAATTCATTCATGTCAATGTCACAAAATGACTTATTCTTTCACTTTCTTGTGTATTTGTACAGGGAGTTGTGTTTGTCATCTTTCATTGTGTCCTTGATGATCAGGTAATATAAGTCAATGGTGTGAAGGGGGAAGGGGAAGGAATTCATGTTTCGGAGTTGAGGAAGGATACCACCACCATCCAGGGAGTTTTTCTTCAGGATTTTGAAAAGACCATTTACTAAGTAATGTTGAAACTTTCAATAGCTGTTCATTTATCCCTCACAGAAATTTTGTTGTATCGCCTGTTTCTCCGCCTTATGTAACATTGCCAAAGCAACCGTATTTTGACATTAATTAGATCAAGTCAAACTACACTTCTGAGACGAAAATCTTTTTTTACAGTTTTCTTAGGCAGTATTGCAGAATTTGTACCTCCTTGCATCATTTCACTTGAAATAAAATAAAATCCAAGATG